TTTCCCTGTTCATAATCACAGAAGGAGCCACTCTCACAACCAGTATGTTGTGGTCTGAACGTTGTCCTTGCGTACAGTTGTGTGTGCATTTCATGTTTCCAATGCGCCACTTCTCTTAAGCATGAAGTGTGTTATATGTTGAGAAGCTCTTAGCTCTTCTAATTATTTCAGGGGGTTCTAGTGTATTGGCTGTGAGAACAAGACAACTGTGGCTCTTTCTATGGAGAGCAAACTGGTTTATTCATTTATTGCTTTATTAAAATAGATTATATATAAAGAAACTATTACGGTTTTGAAAGCAGTTGCCTTGTGGGTTTCTGTGTTAGTCTTAACCACCAGCCTACTCAAGTTACATGTATGTAGGTGACTTTTCACCACAGGAGCAAAAGAAGGCTGAGATTTAAACTGAGAAATTTTCCTTCTCTTTAGGCATCAGAAGTACTACTATTGCTGTTTTCTTACTTGCATATGTGTGAACTCTCAACTTGCTGCTCTGCACAGGAGAGACTGGGAGCCGAATTAGTTTATTTTCTTCCGAAGTAACAGCATTATTGCAGGAAAGGAAGAGAGTCTCTTTATCTCTGGAGCTGTGTTTGCTCTGCAGGTGCTCAGGGAGAATTTTTGTTTCCATGATCAATGGATGGGGCTCAGTGCTTGGGAAACCTGGTTATAAAGATACTGCTTTCTGCAGTAGCCTTTGGAGATCTGTTTCTTAAACGCAGTTATTTTATGCTTTTGATACAGTTTAAAGTTAGAACTTTTTTTTTGTACCACAGAGATCCAGTCAGCATTTTATGATGTTTTCCTTCACAGGGCCATGATGGCTCACCTGTCTGCAACCTGCAACCACAGCCATTTTGCCAGGCTCTTTCAGAAACAGCTTATCCAGGTAAATGACTTGGTTTTTTAATGAAGATATACATCAAAGCTGCTTTGATCTTTCCTCGGCTTGAGAAAATAAACAGTGTCTTGCAAGTTTCTTTGAGATTTTCCTATTGAAACTTTTTGAGCAGAGCCAAGTTTTGAGGATGGGAATTTCCTTCCTTTTCCATGAATATAAATCAGTGATAAATTATTGATGAACTCTGTGTAAATCAGGGAGAAGGCACACTGAGCACATCATGAGTTGTAAGAATTCATTCTTCATGGTTATTTACTTTGACCTTCTAATTTTAGAACAGTTACAATTTTTAGAAATTTTAAGGATGTATTTTGACATATATCAAATGCAGAGGTTCCCAGTTAGGATTATTAGCAACATGAGTGTACTACCTGTAAAGAGTCTCTGGTTCTTCTGTGTAACACTGCAACAGCCTCGTTTCGATATAGTATTGCTGTTGTAGTTTACAGGGATCTTGCTGGCCAGTTTCAAGCCTCATCTGACTTCACTGTAACTGAAGGAATGAAGAAAGAAAAGATGCTTCTGATTGGAGTATAGATATTCACTGTATTCTCTATAAATGGCTGGCTTATTGATGTGTTCCTTCTGGATAGCAAAACAGACATAAAACCCCGCCTTGAGTAGTAGCCTACACACATTGTCAGGAAGTTGTGAGATGCTGGAATGTTGAAAATTCATCTAGTGTCCAGTCTGAATTTCCATCAATGCCCTGTCTCATGTGTGTCTTCAAGGAGATTGTGAGGAAAAGGTGAGATGGACTTTGTTGCATCAACAGAATTGAATTAGTCCTAGGTACTATATTTCTCCTTTATATCTGTGCCTTCTTAATGAAGACTGCAGGGTTTCAAAAGGGTAACCAAAGATTTAAACTGATAACTAGGAGTCTTCAATGAATCCAGTGTGTCTGACTGGAAAGTGAGTTGTGGAATCTTGTGTGTATTGTGATACTCATGCAGAACCTAGACTGAGGATTTGTGTCAAGGCCTGGTAATTGAAAGGCTGGGAAGTGTAACAAGATGTTCTTTTGGGAGGGGAAGATGCTCAGTTTGGAATAAACAGACCTAGTAATTGTTCACTTGATATACATAGTTAAATGTTGCTTTTTAGTATGATCTGTCTCATTAAAACTTTCCTGACTTAGATGCAGGAGTATGCAGTTGTCTTTTTCCTTTACTCACCATTGGTTAGGTTACATCTGGAGTACTGTGTCCAGTTTTAGGCTCACCAGTACAAGAAAGATACAGACTTACTAGAGCGAGTCCAGTGCAGGGCCACATAAATGGTTAAGGGACTGGAGCATTTTTCGTATGAGGAGAAGCTGAGAGAGCTGGGCCTATTCAGCCTGGAGAAGAGAAGGCTCCAGTTTCTTAGCACAAATACCTGATGGGATGGAATGAAGAAGAGGGAGCCAGATTCTTCTCAGTAATGTTCACTGCCAGGACATGAGGTGATGGACACAAATTGAGAAAAAGGAAATTCAGTCTGAACACAAGAAGACACTTCTTTACTCTGAGGGTGGTCAAACACTGAAAGAGGTTGCTCAGAGGGGTTGTAAGTCCCAGTCTGTGGAGACATTCAAAACCCAACTGGACATGGTACTGGACAACCTGCTGTAGCTCACCCTGGTGGAGCAAGAGGGTTGGTTTAGATGATCCAAGAGGTCCTTTACAACCTAAACAGTTCTACAGTTTTGTGATTCTTTGAGTCTTGAGTAGTATCCATGTGTTTGAGGGAGAGGGGCATTCATTTTTTAACTTTATTTAACTCTCTGAAACTCCAGGAAAACCTTGTCTGGGAATGCATAGTGCAGTATCATGGTCCTTGGAGGCTGGGCTAAAGATCCTACTGAGTGGTTCATGAAGACCATGCGAGTGATAGGTGTTCTCTCCACACATCCACGTGTGGCCTGCTAGATGTGCATGAGTTAGATGTATAGGATTGGAATTCCATCTCTCAAGACCTCCAGGCTGTTTATGGCCAAGGTAGATAGCATGTTTTGGCATGAGGAAAAAGAGATCTTCTGTACATGGGCCACCTGAAAAGGCCATGCTTGGATTACTCCAAAAAAAGTTTTGTGAGGAAGGGAGAATATGTGGGGTGAGAGATGAGTGAAATGATGCCTTATTACAAAGTTTCCCCCTCACTATTCTTTTTGTCTCCTGAAGATGTGTAAAGGTCCTATTGGTGGTGGCACAAGCTGGGGAGACACCCCAGACCAGGATGTCCTTAATATGCTGGGTTCTGATAATCTGAGCCGTTTGAAGAGGCTGCAGGAAAGATTTGTTGTTCCTCAGAGCATCAGAGGACCTTGTCCACCCCCTTCATTCCCAGGGTGCCAGCAGTTCTTCAGGGACTTCATCCTCAGCGCAGGAAGGTTAGCTGCCCATGGTTGTTGTTTCTTTCATGAAATGTGTGGGTGAGTGGGGAACACCAGCATGTTGCTGTTGCAGCGGGGAGTTGTCTGGAGAGATTGGGGCATGGTGTAACCTGGGCAGAGCATATCAGAAATGTTTTTAAACTGCATAATACCACACTTAGTGTTCTGGGCCAGCACACACGGTGAACATGTTAATAAGCAGGTTCTGTCTAGAGCATAGAATGTGTATTTGTGCTACATTAGGCTAGACTATATAGTAATAATTCTCCTTATGTAAAACTATAATATCTTGTCACAGGCCATCAGCATTACTCAGTGCCAAGGCATGCAGTGCTACCTAGCAAGGGCACTGGACTGGCCGAGTGATTCTTGTGTGGTAGTGCATGAAGCTAAGGAGTTTCAGGATGAAGCCAGGTTCATGGTTTTGTTTAATGTGTTTCTCACAATCCACAGTGTGGAGAACTTGTGATCTATGGGAGGGTTGAATCTTAAGTTCAGTTATTTTACAGGTTCCTGCTTCGACAAATCCGTATTATTATCCTTATGCTGGGACTTGCTGAACAGCATCTGTTTGAAAAAGTAGAAAATAAGAGTGGAAAAGAAGGGGGTCAGCCAGTAGTAGGCTTGTCCCTTGCTCTCTTTTCTGTCAGTCTGTTACATTGGACGTCTGCTGATGCTTGATACAACTTATGAGACAAGCTTGACATTTTGCAGTGTGTTAGTTGAGGTTTTACTGCTGTTTTCAGCCCAGTCTGACTCATCATCTTTTGCTGAAGTTACCAGTTCAATCAGCACCTGATGGATAGTCTGTGCCTGAAGATACTGGAGCTGAATGGCCTTACTCTGGTGGAGCATGAGCACAGCGATGGGGAAGCAGATATGGATGAACAGGTAAACTTCACCTTGTTTTTTGCAAACACATCTGACAGGAATTTCCCTGAGCTGTTCCAGTACCCAGAGAATTACTGGCTTGATTGCGAGCTGCCTGGAGTATTTGCAGGACAAGAGCTTCTTCATTTGGTTTTGTCATAACTCTGCAACTTGGTTATGGATGTCTGAGCCCCTTGCCATTTGCTTGCATGCTTCAGGGTGCTTCGCAGAACTGTGTCATAAGATGCACAACAGTTTGAAAAGTGAGAGCCTCTTTTTAGGTTGTTAGTACACTGTGTTAGGTCAATGTAATAACTGAGTCCAGTTGTTGCACTCAGTTGCACTAGCTCCTTGTTACTTTTCCATGTAGAAAGATTTTAGTTAGAATGAATTTGGAGTCATCCCTGTTCATACCTGTTCAGATGTTTCTTCACTCATCTATACCTGTCAGAGGTGTCACAGCTTATGGTCTATTAGCAAAGTAGCAGCCAAAGGTTCATGAAGACTTGCAGAGCAGTAATGGTATAAAGGAGGCAACATGAGATCAGCTCTCTGCCCTCTCATTGACTCCAAAGTTCTTCATATGAAGATGTGATTGAGCAGCTGCTTGTTTTAGAAAACTCATGAAACAACTTCTCGCTCTAAGTGAAGCAATGGAGGCAGAAGCAATTTAAAATCCTTGATAAATGTGTATTTTGGAAACTTAACTTTATTAAAAGCAGTGATGAAGCTATGTGGTCCTTTTACATGAAGGGAGTGGAAATTTAGTGTAGGTAGTTGCTCTGCCAGTTTAAGGTAGCACTGCCCCAGCTTGCTTTTCTTCATTTCAGGATGAAAAGAAGCGTTTCACTGTGGTCCTGTTAAGCCTACGACTCCTCGGCAAATTCCTGGGGTTTCTTGTTTTCTTGCCGTATCGCGCTGTGGAGCAACCAACTAGAGACTTGCAAGACTCTGCAGTAGCGTTAAGAAACCAGGTAAGAAACCAAATTCTAAGAAATCTAATGTGGCCTTTTACTTTGACACGCAGGTTTTCTAATCCAAGGAGGGGATTACAAATAGTTACGCCCTTTCAAAGCGAGCCAGTGGTTCCTGGGATGATGTTATACTATTCTGTGCCCCTACTGCATATTCTGGGGTTGGGAACAAAGGAAAAGAGGAGTTTGTGTAAGCTAGAGAAGAGGGAGCAATGCACTGATGGTGAGGTACTCAAGTCTACTGTTATTTCTGCTACTCTGAGTCTGTCATACCAGAACTCTGACCTAGCGAAGAAGACTTGTATTTATAGTGTAAAATCCAGCTACCAGAAGTGGTCTTGTTAGTTTTGCACCCATCTGCTAGCAGTGTGTCATACTGAATGCAAGGAGGCAGGAGTTAGACCTTGACTCCACTTGTACATAGTCAGGCTTATACCCTTCCTTTTGAAAGTCCCAGTGGGACCTCTGATTATGGTCATAGCATGGTTTGTACCTCTGCTCGTGTGCAAAGAAATGTTTTCAGTAGCCAGAAAGTCACCTCTTCTTTGTACAGAACATGAAATCCTAGAAAGAAAAGTCAAGATGTAGGTAAAGTTTTTCTTTTAAGTATCAAAAGGTAACTTCAAGCTGCTGCTTTAACTTCTGTTGTCCATTAAGACCCTGCCTGTTCTGGATGTACTGAAGCTTCTGAGACAATCTATTCGGGATCAACGTTCTATCCTCACTATTCCTTGGATTGTAGAGTACCTTTCCCTTGTGGATCATGTTGCTCCTTTCCTTGATTACTACAGGAAAGTATTTTGTCTCTTGCTGCAGATATACAGGTAAGAGCCTAGGAAAGGTTATTTGTTAAGAACTTTTCTGTGAAGGTTTGCTTGCTTACTTGTATTGCCTGGTGTTTGAGAATGCATGCTGGCCCTAGTTTGACGTTCTTTTAAAAGTACTTTTTTTTTTTTTTTGTGCAAGTCATGAGCATTTCTTATCTTACATAAAGCTGCAAAGGGAGCACACCCTAAACTCAGAGATTAATATTGTATTTAAATATGTGCTTTTCTCATTGAGTAAACAAAATTCTTTAAATCCCCACTTGCTCATTCTACATCTGCAGCTGTGAATTTTAAATGTTGAATTTTGAACCTTAAACCTACAAGGCCTCCCATGCCTAAATAATGCTCTGGTTTTCTTTCCTATATAGATGAGGAAAATCTGAAGTACATTCTAGAGAGATACTTAACACTGCCTTTTCTAATGTAAACTTAAAACAGCACATTGTTCAGATGCATACGTACAAAAAAAGTAGAGCTTTCTCTCCACTCTTTAGGCAGACAAGTAAGGAATGTGTACAGTGACAAATAATATAATTAGAAAGTGAGTGGTTTGGCTTTTTTTTTTTTTCCCTTAATGAAGATTGAGTTACTGAAATCTAACACTCTCTCTTGCTGCTTTTGCTGCATGGCAGGTTAATGGTTCTTTCTGAAGATAAGGAGATGAGTTTCCTGAACAAGCTGCTGATCCTTGCAGTTCTGGGATGGCTTTTTCAGGTAGTCTCCCGTGTGCACACAGCTCTTGCCTGAAGAAAAAGCAGGGCACAGAAATCAATAGAAAATAGAATTGAAATGAGTTAAAACACTGCAAAACAGTAGTTGGTTGTTTTGTTGGGTTTTTCTTGCACTAGTGTGGTGTTTAAAGAATACTCTGTATTCTAATGGAGAAATATTTTCCTTTAGTGGAATTGTGCGAAGCAACATTTTTTTCCAATAGGAATGCTAATTGATGCTGAAACACATTCTGTACTTCGAAATCTGCATCCTCGTAAGCAAATTGACAGCTGATTCCTGTTAGAACTGAAAGCTCTTGTCACAAAGATGGAGTACTAGCTGGCAGCCTTGAATTACTGTGGAATTTTTTGTCTGATAAAGGGATGTGTGTGATAAACTTCTAAAATCCTTTTGTGCCTTCAGTTGGAAGCAAGGTAACTGCTTAGCAGTAGCCTGTTGGAAAGGTGAAAGATGCTGTATGGGGAGGGTAAGGAAGGTGGCTTATGGTATTGTGATCAAACTACATCTTTAATTTTATGGAAAGATCCTCCTTAGGGCAGAGAGGATCCTTAGTGCTAGTTTTTTTTGTTGGTGGCAGGTTGGTGAGATTTTGCTGTCCTCTTTATCTCAAATGGTGTAAGTCAGTGACTGCTGTTTGGGTTGTAACTGCTGGGGTTTCTGTTTCAGGTTCCATCAGTCCCTGAAGAGTTGTTTTTTACCACCGATGTCAGGCAGGAGGGATTAATGATGGATACTGTGACATCTGCCCAGGCTTTGGTGAGTTAGTACAGTAGCATGTCCTCTGAATCTGTGGGTGAGGGTGGACCTACCACAGCCTCAGGAGTTTAAGATTTTATCAAGAACTTGGCTTCAGCGCGACTGCATTGAGCATATGTAGGCCAATGGGTGTGATGTCCCAGTTTGACCAAGTGCCTCAGTTGCATTGCATCCTAGATTGTAAACTCTGTGTGTTACAGCTCTGGGGCTTTTGTCAGGCAGGAGCCGTCTCACGTGCTGCAATGGCTTGCAGAATAGGTACCAAGTTATACTGGAGGAGCAGAAGCTGTTTTCTTACTCACTGGTTATTTCAGTACAAGGTGAGCTGATAGAACCGTAGCTCTTCCCAGAAATAACTAATAGTAATGGTGAACTCAACAGAAATAGTAAGATGGGACTATAAGAGCAAGGTTACTGATTTTGGCATCACCTGCTTTCCAGTTGCATGATAAAGTGTAACTGGACTGAAAATAGTATGAGCGAGCAGAAAAGGAAGTGAGTTTGTGGTATGTGTGATGTTTCAGAGAACTCCCAGACATGCAAGAGAATACATAGTATTCCCTGAAAAATGAGCAGTATGTTTGCTAATATATATGTGTGTCTAATAGAAAGTTCTGTTTTGTGCTGTCGCTTTAGTGGCAGAGATAAGATGCAGAGATCAACTGTTTTGTTTTTTTGCTTTTTTTTTCCAAATGAGTACAGTACACGCTGCCCGCATGGATGGGATCTGAAGTTGCTTTTCCTCCCATGCCTCTGTGCTGTGTAATACTGGGGTGACATTACTCCACAGTGCAGTGTTCCAGTGAGTCTGGGTGAAGACACCTGTGGAAGTGTAATGCATAGCAGATGTGCCTGATTTATTCTCCTCCATGGATAGGTTTCTCTTTTATGAGTAACAGCTGTGGCAACGGTCCAGGTTCCCTTCTGTTAGCATCAGCTTTCAGGTGGGCTTTGAAATGTGGAGCAGCTCATTGTGTCTTACGGGGCTAGATGGAATGCTTGGTCTGCAAAGTTCAGAATTTTGCTGTGGATTTGGAATCTAGTTATTTTTTTGTTTTGTTTTCATGGAAAGGCAGTGCTGAAACCTGCCTGTGACCACATGTATGGGATTTCTGAGTTGCTGAAGACTGCTTCTTTCCTGCTGTGTCCTTTCAGCATTGCCTTCCTTTTTCTCCACAGGACTGTGTACCCTTGGTGGATCAGCAGTTACTTTATACCTGCTGTCCGTATCTTGGTGAGTATTTCAT